ATGATTTTTGTTACAATATATATATATACAAACGTGTTACACGAAACACCTGCCAACCCACGCACTTTATCATAGAAAAACAATAAAACCACGAAAACAAAAATTAAACATATTTGGCTGTAGGGAAAAAAGAAGGAAAACACTCACCTCTGATAAGTTCATGACGAGTGGCAGTGAGCCGGCGAGATAAGAGCCGCCCAGCATCACCAGTGCCAACATCCACAGAACCATCGTTTCGTCCATCCTGGACTTTCTCCTCCTCTGTGCAATAAGTTAAAACAGGAAACACTTTCTCGGGGACTATTATAGACACTCTCGTCCTCTCCCCGCGGCGGTTGATGGCCGACAGAGATAAGAGATGCACTTTCACCAGATACCCACTCGTCAAAACTGCAAACTTGATTTTTTCGACTCCGATTCGTAAAGATAAGACTTTACCTGCATTGTATGAGGCCCACTACCTGTAGACGAGGTAGATGGGGCCTATTTCTATCAATCGCCCGGGTCTTCGGGTTACCATTGTTATTGCTTTCTATGCGGGTGTCCTCTATAGTTCTTTTATTATAAACCCGTGCCCCACATCTAATCTACAATCAACAACCCACAACTCTGCAACTTGCAAAGTGACTGCTGCACACTTGCACACGCACACTCTATAGACCAAGAGCTGAGGCCGAAGGGGTGGTCAAAATTTTAACCAGCCGCCGCTCTCACCAGAATTGAGGAACCTTATGATTCATGGAGATCCGAAATATTTCGGTCATATTTCATAGTGGTGAAGAGTTATGTGATAATTATAGTAGTGCTATATAATCTTTTTTATTGACTAGCCGCAACTCACACCAATGGATAGAAGATAAAAAGTTTTTTCTCATAGCTGCCATTTGCGTCAAGATTAGAATGCATCTTGTATCCGAAAATCAACCTTCAAAATAATTGACTCCCTACCCGATCTTATCTATAATACTCATCTAAGATAATAGATGATTCATTTTAGATAACATTATAGATAAGAATGCAATATCTATATTTTTGGAGGTCGATTTTCAGGTACAAGATGCATTCTAATCTTGTCGCAAACAGTACTCTTAGGTGACAAATTTTTATTATATATCCATTGGTGAAAATTGCGGCTGGTTAATAAAAAAGACGATACGGCACTACTATAATTACCACATAACTCTTCACCACTATGAAATATGACCGAAATATTGGTTAGTGCAATTTAATATAAAAAAAAAAAAAAAAACTATTTATGTGATTTAGTTTGTGCGTTATTGAGTACAAATAATCAACAAAAAAACTGCCTGGAGAGAATACACGAGAGACCCGCTAAATGATGACGGTGGTTGCACTTTTTATACATAGTTTTGTTCATTAAATATTTTGTTCGTTTACGATTACCATTTTCATTGTATGATGTTGCCTGAGTTTGTAGAAAAAACAAATCTACATCTGCAAGTGGTTTTAATTAACTAGCTACTGATGATCGAGTGAAATTTTTTCAATAAATAATTATTTTAGAAATAAATTTGGGATTTCGTTCGGTAAATCATTATTTACTCAAAATTTTTTATTTTAGTGATTTATTTATTTATTT